CGCTCGATTTCTTTCATTTGAACTTTCCCGAAATTTCTGCCACGAAAATTTTTTCGGGATTTCCTTTCGTAACATTTTTTCCCGATTCGTTTTCGTATTTTTTAAGGGATGAATTTTATTTCCGGTACGCTTATGTTTTTTTTTTTTTCGTCGGTTCGGTTTTTTTTTTTTTCTAAAAATAAGGAAAGAAAAATGAGAAAAAAGAAAATTTTTTATCACGCGTGATTTTTTTTATTCAAAAAAAAACAAACAAACAAACAATGAAACAAACAAAGAAACAAACAGACAAACGCCTCTTCCTTTCTAAAAAAGGTTCGTCAAGTAATAAAGACGACGACGACGGTTAAGATGATGATAATAATGTGAAAAATGATTGATTTTTTTTTTCTTTTTTTTGGGTTTAATTTCCGTTTCCGCTCTCGTTTATTATTATTATTATTATTATTTTATTTTTCTTTTATTTTTTTTTTTTATTTTTTTGTTACTTTTTTTTTTATTTTTCGGTGTTTTTCCGTAGGCGGGGGTCGTAGCGGGTCACCGCAAATAATTTCAACCGTTAATAGCAATACTTCTTCATCCGTTCAGAAACCTTCCCCGTTATCAGGTTTCGGTAATGCTTTGCTTCAAGACATCCCAGGTATTTTTTTTTCTTTTGTTTTTTAATTTTTTTAAGTTTTTTTTTTTTTTGGTTTTCTTTTTCTTTTTTGGTTTTTTTATTTTATTTTTTCTTTCTCTCTCAGTTTTTTTTTGATTTTGTTTTATTTTGGGATTTAAAAAAGGAGACGAAAACCCCACCGACAAAAGGTTTAGGAGGCTCGTGTAAAAAAAAAAATTTTTTCAGGTTCGATTTAAGGGAGGGGAGGGGGAGAAAAAGGAAGAGGCGGATTATTGTTATTATTATCATCGTTTTTTTTTTTTTTTTCGTTTTTTTTGTAGATAATTTTGTGATGAACGCGTTTGTTTTTATTATTTATTATGTATATACGTTTGTATATATATAAACAAAACCGAATGTTTGTATGTATATATATATACGGACATAAACGTTTACGCTTATAAATTTTTGCATAAACGCAAAAGCCGCTCCCCGAAGTTTTTTTTTTTTTTTTTACATACGATTGGGACGGCGGTTTGATGGAATCCATTCCAAATTTAATGTTGATTATTTCAAACTTATTAATGTTTTTTTCCTTTTGCTATATCTCTCTCACTCACTTTCTATCGGTGCCTTATTTCTCTCTCTCTCTTTCCCATTTTTTTTTTTTACTAACTTTTTCTCTTCCTTTTTCTTTACCTTTTCTTTTAATTCTCGTAATTTTCTCTCACTGTTTTTCTGCCTCTTCTTTTGCCTCTCTCTCTCTCTCTCTCTCTCTGCTTTTATTTATTTTCTTTTGTTTTGCTCTTCCTTCATTTTTCTTTTTTTCTCTTCTGATATCTGAGTCTTTACTTCATCTTAATTTTCTCTCTCTCTCTTTCTCTATTTTCTATCGGTGTGCTTATCCGTCCTCTCTCTCTCTCTCTCTTTCTCTCTGTTTCGGTCTTTGCATTCTCCCTCGCTTCTTTTCATTTTTTCTCCCAGTACCTCCTCTTTTGACTCTATTGAGTGCCTCTTTTTTATTCTTTTTTTCCTCTCCCTCTGTCTCTCTCTTTTATTTTTTTTCCTCTCTCTCTCTCTCTTTTTTTTTTCAACCTCATAACTTTTTTTTTATTTTCCTGTTCTCATTTTAATCGTTTCGTTTTTCTCATTTTCTTTCCACTCCGGACGCATCATCACGTCTCGAGGTGAAAAAAAATTTTTTTTAACGGTTTTTAACCGTCAGGTGAAAGGTTAAAAACCGTTAAAAAACAAAATGTATCATTTTTCACGCTCGGAAAAATGATGGAATGATTTCATCATCAACCAATCAAAATCATTTTTTTTATTAAGGAAATTTTAAACGATTCGATTTCCGATTGGTTGATTTTAAACGAACGTTTTTTTTTTTTTTTTATCGTTACCAAAATCGAAGACGACAGCGGGCTTTTGCGTTTTTCTGTTTTTTTTTTTTTTACGTGGTTGTTGTTTTTTTTTATATATATATATATATATATATATATATATATATATATATATGTATGTATATATAAATATATATTGAAAAGCTTGAAATCTTTTTTTTTTTTTGTTTTATTTTGTTTTTTCTATTTTTGTTTTTTTTTCTTTTTTTTTTTTTTTTTTTTTGAAAAATAAAAAAAAAAAACAACATTAGAAATCAAGATCGTCTGTCCGAACAAGACGTGGTCTCAAGTGTCCGTCAATTCTCATGGGTCAGGTGAGGAATCAAAAAAAACTTTTTTTTTTAATTTTCTTGTTTGTCTTGGAAAATTATTTTATTTAGGTGTGCGTGTGCGTGTGTGCGTGCGTGTGACGATGATGATTATTATTGTCGTTATCACTTAGGAAATTAGTATTATTAGTTTTGTGTTGGTGTTATTAGTTTTTTCTGGCACGTGAAAAAAAAAAAAAAAATGATTTAGTGTTTGCAAACTTAATAAAATCATGCACGGATTCCAAGGAACAGGGAAAATGAATTGGTGGTATTGGACGGGG